GCCAGTGGCTGGGGAAAGTGGAAATGGGGAGTTACTGTTTAACAGGTACAGAGTTTCAGTCTGGGAAGATAAAGAGTTCTAGAGATGGATGGTGGTGATGGTTACATAACAATATGAAGCCGGACGCGGTGGCTCAAGCCTGTAATCCCAGCACTTTGGGAGGCCGAGGCGGGTGGATCACGAGGTCGAGAGATCGAGACCATCCTGGTCAACATGGTGAAACCCCGTCTCTACTAAAAAAATACAAAAAATTAGCTGGGCATGGTGGCACGTGCCTGTAATTCCAGCTACTCAGGAGGCTGAGGCAGGAGAATTGCCTGAACCCAGGAGGCGGAGGTTGCGGTGAGCCGAGATCGCGCCATTGCACTCCAGCCTGGGTAACAAGAGCGAAACTCCGTATCAAAAAAAAAAAAAACACAAAAAAACCCACAAAACAATATGAAGGTACTTAATATTATTCAATTATACAAATGATTAAAATGGTAAATTTTATGTTGTGTGTATTCTGCTACAAGAAAAAATAAAATCGCTTGTGTATATATTTAGAGGCATGGTGGCCTTAACAAGTCGCTTTTTACCTTTAAGTGGAAAGGCAAAGTGTTAAACATATGTAAACACTGATGAAAAAAAAAAAAAAACAAAAAAAACACAAAGTGTGAAGACTAGCTCTATCCGGTCTTACCATAAACCTACTGTAATTGAAACAGCGTGATACTGATACATGGTTAAACAATAAAACCAAGATAAATCCACCAACAAACGCACACATACATGGACCTTAACATACATCAGAGGTGACACTGCAGAACAGCACATTTTTAATAATTAGCAATTAGAACAACTGGATACCCTTATGTAAAATATTAAATTAGAAAAAAAAACCCCATAAACTGGACTCCAGTTTTACACAATCAATTCATGTGGATTAAACACAAAAGGCAAAAATATAAAACTTTCAGAAGATAATACAAAAATAACATCTGTATGACTTTGGGGTAGAAAAAGTTCTCTAAAAACATAGAACACTACCCTGAAAATCAAGATTTTTAGTCCATATACTAGAAAGTCAGTTAAAACACATAAAATTATTGAAGAATTAAATTGCCATATACTACACCTCCCGAGGGGCTTGTAGGAACATATAAATAATTCCTCCCACATATGAAGCACACACATCAGCATGTTATCTCAAAAGGTACTTCATGAAAGTGAAAACTCCAACTGGCAAATAATGTGAACAGATATTTAACCTCATTGCAAGAAGAGAAATAAAAAAATTAAAACAACGATGAATTATAAACCCACCAGAATGGCTAAAATTTAAAAGTCCATCAGTACAAAATATTGATAAATATATGAAACAACAGGAACTCCTAAAGTCTGTTGGTGAGAGTATAAATTGGTACCATCGATCACTATGGAAATGATTTTGCATTATCCAATAAAATTGAAAACAGATATATACTATGATCAAATTACTCTACTTCTAGGTATATATGCTTAAGAAATTCATGTATATATATGCCAGGATATATGTGCAAGAATATTTTCAAAAGTATGCTCTGTAATAGCCCTAAACTGAAAAAAAAAAAAAAGGTCTATTAATAGTAAAATGGATATCTTCATACAATGGAATGAAAGTAAACGAACCGTATCTATATGCAATACAGTGTACTAATTTCATAAAAAAATTAGAGGTAACAAAAAATACAGTTCAAAAATACAGCCTTACTATATTGAATACAATTTTTTGAATTGTATTAAAAAATACAATTCAAAAATTAAGCCAGTTGTTTAGGTATGCATTCATCTGTGGTACAACTTGAGAAAGGCAGTGAAATTATCATAAGCCAGGATAGTGATTACCTCCAGAGGGCAAGACAGGATTATCTAGAAGAGAACATAATAGCTCCTGGGTGTAGTAATGTTCTATTTCTTGAACTGGATGATTCTAGAAATATGTATCCTACATACTCTCCTATATAAATGTTACACTTTACATTTTGGAAAAAATGATGATAAACACTACTCCATATACCACTCCATAGAGAAAACAGTTATGCTGACCGGTTCATAATGGGCTCAGGCTGCCATATTATATTTCCCTAGTCCATTCCTCCTCTTACTCTCCTAGAATAATAATATTTTATAATTTCTGTTCTTAAAACCTCCAACACCTCCTCCTCTGTCCTCGTCCTCAGTTGGTGATTTCCTACCTGAGAGAAATGAAAGCAAAGATTTCTACAGACTCACCACTACAAATACCCACCTACCGTGATTTTTCACCCACATATTCTACTTTCCCTTAGCCCAAGTCTCTATGATACCACCTAAGGCCAGCCCACCTATTTGAACAAAAGATCCAATCTCCTCTTGCCTTCTCAAGAACATTACAGCAACTCTCCCATCTGTCACCTACATCGTCAGTTTCCTTCAGCAAACAAACATGCTGTTACTTCTTGACTCAAATTTCCCCAGCAGCTCTGACTCCATTTCTTTGGTCACCTTTTTAGTTAAACTTCTTACAAAAATTATTTCCAATTCCTCTCTTTCCATTCTTTCTTAAATCTACCACAATCAGATTTTTGGCCTGACCACTCTGTCAACTGCTCATCAAGATCATCAGTAGTCCCTAGTGGTCAATTCTCAGCTCTTATCTTACTTGTGTTTCAGGAGCACTGACACAGGTTATCATCCCTTGCTCCCTGATAGATTTGAATCACTGGGTTTCTGATAAATCATGCTATCCTGATTTTCTTCCTGTGTAACTGGTCACACCTTCTCAGTCTCCACTGCTGCCACTTCTGATTCCTCCTCTGCTTAATGGTGGAATGCCTCACAGTGTCTTTAGTATTCTTCTATCTATACTCATTTTCTTGGTAATCTCATCCAGTCTAATGACATAAACACATCTTCGTGCCAGTGTTTCCAGTTCAGACTCCTCTCCTAAATTCCAGAGTCATTTCTAACGTCTAATCGGCATCTGAAATTCCATATGTTCCACACCAATCTTCCAATTTCCCCCCTAAAATCTGCTCTCTCATACATTAACCATCCTTATTTCTATTTAAGGACTTTCCTTAAGTAGATGGATCATCCATTTTGTTGTTCAGAGCAAAAAATCTGCAGTCATCCTTGTCTCCTTTCCCGATATCTAATCCATCAGTAAATTCAGTGTATTCCATCTCCAGACATAGCCAGTATTTGAAGATTTCTTCTCTTCCACTGATAACAGCCCAAGCCACATTTATATCACACCTGAATTACTACGATAACTTTCCTATCTGTTCTCTGTTTATACCCTTTGCCCTCTAACAACCTATTCCTAATATGTCAGCAGAAGGATCCTTTTAACAGTTAATTGAGATAGCATCTCTCTCTTGACATGAATTCCCTTTAAATCCAGGACAATATCACCATTTTATATATATATATATATATATATATATATATATATATATATATATATATAGGAGATGGTGTCTCCAATATATTATTGGAGATGGTGTCTCACTCTGTTGCCAGGCTGGACTGCAGTGGCATGATTTCAGCTCATTGCAACCTCCGCCTCCCAGGTTCAAGCAATTCCCCTGCCTCAGTCTCCTGAGTAGCTGGGACTACAGGCATGTGCCACCACACCCAGCTATTGTTTTGTACTTTAGTAGAGATGGGGTTTCACCATGTTGGCCAGGACGGTCTCAATCTCCTGACCTCGTGATCCGCCCATCTCAGCCTCCCTAAGTGCTGGGATTACAGGTATGAGCCACCATGCCTGGTCTTTTTAAACATATTCTTAAACATACAAAGTGAAGCCTGAAAGAGTAATTCCTAAAGCTAATCTTCAAACTAGTTCTAGTGTATGTGGAAATTTTTAACTAAACCAAGGTGGGCCCAGTGCCACATGCCGTAGTCTTAGCTACATGAGAAGCTGAAATGGGATGATCACTTGAGCCCAGGAGTTCAAGCCCAGCCTGAGCAACACAGTGAGACCCCATCTCTTTAAAAAAAAAAAAAAAAAAAAAAAAAAAAACTATTAGCTAATCCACACTGTATAATGGCAGTGCAGTGCATTTTTAGAAATGTCCATTCATTTATTTATTTTAACATGATATTCTTTTTCCTACTTTTTTTGTTGTTAAATGTTGTATTTTTCAATGTTAATGGTTACTAGCAGGTTTATAAAACATTTTATTATTTGAAAAATAAAAATGCAGCTGAACTATGTTTTATTGCCCTTTTCCCTGTTTTCTCCCTCCACTCCCTACACTTTTTCACTGCTGAATTAAAAAACAGAGCACCTTTACCAGTATATGAAAATGAAGTCTGGGAAGTACCAGCCAAAAGGATTTATCAAGCAGGTATCTGCACTAAAAGCTCACTAAACCACAGGGAAACTATACTACAGGGGAAATTTACATTGGCTATGGTATTATATTCACACCTCTCCTCTAGATCTGTCAATAGTGGCTAGGTAATATTAAAATTCATAATGTCCCTGACCCTCTTTTTCCTCATTTATACAGGGAAAATAATAATAGTACACATTTCATAAAAGCATGAAAATTCAGATGATACATGTAAGTGATGATACACAACAGCTACCTACCTATATGTTTACTTAATACAACACTATACAGTGTTACATCATGGAAGACAGAATAAGAGGAAGTGGGAGAAGTCCGCCTGGTGTAGAAAAATATTTTATCCACTGACATTGTTTAGAACTAATGGCACATGGTGATAATAAGCATTTTGGTTAGTTTGATTATTGTTTTTAAATTCTCTTCAGACTGTGCATGCCTTTCCTGCCTTCCCCAGGTCATCACAGCAAAAGATCACCTTTCACATTCATTCCGTCGTTCGCTCATTCATTAACTGAAAGTCTACTTAGTGTTAGGCATAGTTTACGGCTGAAACCCAGAAGGTAGTATAAGAGTATAGTCCCCATGCATTCTTAAATACACTAAGGATAATAATTTAGAAAACAAATACTCACTTACCTTTCTTGAATTTATGTATGGGAAGTTTCTTAAGTTGATCTTTACGAAGTCTGTTTCTTCTAGCTCTATGTCTATCCTGGACAAATTTTGTGATCTAAAAATAAAAGAGATAAAAAGGAGTCAGATATTAAACATTCAGATAGAAAGTGACCACTAAAATAACAAACAGCTTTTAAGTTTCTGGATAGCTACTGCAAATCACTTCAATTCATTTAAATTCTAATTGCAATAGTATTACTAATTAAAGCATTAAATTACATTAGTGATTATTTAACCCATAAATTATTCCTTGAATTTTTTATTAAATGATCTTGATTATCTTTGATTATACTGACAGAGTCATTATAAATAACATATACCTGTTTTCTTGCAAAAATACAAATGGTAAACTACAGATTTTATAAAGGCTCCAATGGGGGAAAAAAAAAAAAAAACTGGAAGGTTAAGATTCCCATACATTACAAACCAATAAAAATTTCAAACATATACTTATTAGTTACTGCAGAATAATGAGCAGAACTAATTCAGAACACCTTTACTACAAATATTCAGAAATGCTGGATAAAATATACAAAATATTTTAAACTATAAATTGCTATGCGTGCAAGAATAAAAAGGAAGTCCACAGGGCCAAAAACCAAATACCTAAAACACCATCTGTAAAGGAAAAGTTTGACTATGTAAAAGTTAAAAACTTCTCTGCTCAAAAGGCACTGTTAAAAAAATAAAAGACAACTGAAGCAGGAGGATTGTTTCAGGCAAGGAGATCAAGACCAGCCTGGGCAACACAGTGAAACCCCATCTCTAAAAAGAAAAAAATTAGCCTGGCACAGTGGCATGTGCCTGTAATCCCAGCTACTTGGGAGGCTGAAGTGAGAGAATCCTTTGAGCCCAGGACCTCAAGGCTGCAGTGATTCATGTTTGTGCCACTTGTACTCCAGCCAGGCTGGAGTAAGAGCCTGTCTCAAAAACTAAGTAAGTAGATAAATACACAAATAAAATTTTAAAATTAAAAATAAAAGATGAACCACAGATTGAAATATTTGGAAACTGTATACATGATAAGGGATTTGTATCCAGAATATATATATGAAAAACTCTCAAAGCTAAATAATAGGAAAACAAGTTATCCAACAGAAAAAAATCGACAAAATATTTGAAGCTATTTCACTATACAAGACATACAAATGGCAAATAAGCTCTTAAAGAGATGTGCAACATCAGTGGTCAATAGGAAAACAAAAATTCAAATCACAAATAGTATAATACAAGGCAAATACCAGAATGACTAAAATGTGAAAGACTGACTACCAAGTGTTGGCATGGAAGTGGAGGAAACGACACTCTCATACACTAACTGGTGGGATTGTAAAATGGTACAGCCACTTTGGAAAAGAGCTTGACAATTTCTTACGAATCTAAACACACACTTATCCTGTGCCCAACTGTCCCACTCCTAGATATACTTACCCAATAGAAATGAAAGCATATTTCCATACAACAAATGTCCAAGTCAGCTTTATTTGTAATAGCCAAAAACTAGAAACAACCCAAATGTTGATCAATAGGTAAATGGGTAAACAAATCATGGTATATTCACACAATGAAATCTATCTCAGCAATAAAAACGAATGAACAATCCATGCACTCAATAACATATATAAATCTCAAAATAATTATGGCGACAAAAAGCAGACAGACACAAAAGAGTACAGACTTTATGATTCCATTTATATAAAGCTGTGGAAAATACAAAGTAATCTATAATGACTAAAATTAGATTTGTAGTTGCCTGGGCATGGAGACGGGTGGGGAGGCAACAATGAAAGAAAAATTGGAAGGGATAGAAGGAAGTCACTGCCAAACTTTTTAGGGTGGTTAATATTTCATTATCTTGATTGTGGTGGTGGTGGTTTCACAGGTATATACATACATATCTGTTACATATGTATGGTAAGTGTGGTATATACATGTGATATATATATGTAATATACATATGCATATGTGATCTATATAGACATATAAACCTATGCCAAAATTTTCCAAATTGTACAATTTAATTATGTGTAATTTATGTCAAACCATCCCTCCATAAGTTTTTTTAAAGTTTAATGGTAACCACTGAAAGAATAGCAATATAAATTTTCATATCAACAGGAAAAAGAAAGTAAAATTAATGCAAATTTACAGAGAAGAAAAACAGAATAAAAATTAAACAGAAATTAATCAAAATACATGTGTGATCACAATATATGTCATATGGATTAAATTCACTAATTTTTAAAAGGAGTGTATCACATTGCATAAGAAAAAAATTCCAATCGTATGTTATTTACAAGACACAAGATTAAAACTGATACATTAGGACAAAAATAAAAGTAAATAAAGGGATAGGATCAGGTGTAGTGGCTTACACCTATAATTCCAGTGCTTTGGGAGGCCAAGGCTGAAGGACTGCTTGAGCCCAGGAGTTTGAAACTAGCCCTGTTTTATTCATCTCTACAAAAAATAAAAACAACTAGCTGGACATGGTGATGTGATGTGTGCCTCTAGTCCCAGCTACTTAGGAGGCTGTGGTGAAAGGATGAGTTGAGGTTATAGAGAACTATGATTGTGCTACTGCACTCCGGCTTGGGTGATAGAGCAAGACCCTGTATAAAATAACCAAATTAACATAAAGAATAAAACAAAATAAAGGTATAAAGATCTACCATGAAAATAGTAAGCAAGAGAAAAACTAGAGTATCAAGCAAAATAGAATTTAAGGCAAAAAGCAACATTAGGAGAGTCATGACAATGATAAAAACATCTCATCTAGAAACAAAATAGTGGAATACATACATTCACAACTTGGCAACTTATAGGTTAAGCACACAAAAATTTTGGAAGACTATAGACCTGTGCTGTCCAATATGGTGGCCACCAAGTACATATGACTACTGAGCACCTGAAACACAGCTACTCTGAATTGGGATGTGCTGTAAGTGTAAAACAAACACCAGATTACAAAGACATTGTACAAAAAGAATGCAAAAATATATTTGTATTAACTGAATGTTGTTACATACTTTAGATTTGGTTAATAAATATAGTATTAAAAATTTCATGTGTCCTTTTTTTAACTTTAAATTTGGTTACCAGAAAATTTAAAATTACAATAAAATGTGGCTCATAATACTGCTCTATTCTTAGCATTGCTTCAGAAAATAGAAAAATAATGCCCAAAATTATTAACTATTGTGGTGATGATTGCATAATTCTGGGAATATACTTAAAATTATTGAATTGTGCATTTTAAATGAGTTTAAGTTATATGAATTATATCTCAATAAAGCTGTTAAAATACTAAAAAAAAAAAGACTAGACAAAACAAATTAACAAGTTTGAACTAATAGACATATAACTGCACTCCACAAATCTTTTCACACACAGGGAATTTACAAAATTTAATCAGAAAACCATGCCACAAAAGAGGTTTTTGAAAATAACCAAATAATCCATAATATACAATGTTGTCTGACCTCAATACAACTGAATTAGAAATCAATAGAAAAAAATACATATTTTGGAAATGTAAAACTGTACTGAAATAATTCATAAGTCACAGAACAAATCATGATGAATATCTACATTTTTGAGGGGGTGTTTTAATCAGCATGCCCCTTTGCCACCTGGTTTCTAAGCTTGAGAAATAAGACCATGAACTGGCAAGAAGGAGGAAGGTGAAACAACTAACTCACTGGAGAAAGAAACAACTTTTTTGTACTCATTTCAGCAGCACATATACTAAAACTGGAATGAAACAGAGAAGATTTGAATGATTCCTGTGCAAGAAACAGAACTTTTTATTGAGCAACAGAATTATTAGGTTGCCTTAGCCACTCAGACACAGACAAAGGCAACTCTGGAATGAAGTAGGCCTTCCCCTAACCCTGAAGAATGGCAGAACCAGCCCTGGAGGAGCTGAATGAATATGTCCCAAAGTCTGGTTAACCACAAAACAAAGATGGTGGACCTGAGCCAAGTGTGCCCAAATTATTCTTCCTAAGTATGCCACACAGATAAGACACTTTAACTCCTCTAAGGTAGAATGAGTAAACGGGTAGAGAAGGGCCAAGAGTTACAGTAATTGAGTTCCCCCTTCACATGGAGTGAAACATTAAGAGTGATAAAAAAAAAAAAAATCCTGTATTAAAATGAAAACTTTTAAATTTAAGTCAAATGAAAATAAAAATATTCCTTATGAAAAGTTGTGGGTTTCAGCTAAAGTTACTGTTGTAGAAAAAATTATAACCTAAATGCATATACTAGAAAGAAAAACATTAGCATTTGGTTCAATAAACTAGAAAAATAAAAGCAATACAATTAGACCAAGTAAAAGAAAGAAAATGATTAAGAACAAAAATTAATAATAAAGATAAAGAAAGTAAAGAACTTAGAATTAAGTTCTACTAAAATGTAAGCTGCTTACCATCAGGAATTTTTACCTATTTTGTTTATTGATGAATCTGCAGACCCTTGAACAGTGCCTAGTTAGTTCATCATGGGTGCAGAATGTATTTTTATTGAATGAAAGCCTACTTCTCTGAAAAACGAATGAGGCAATAACTTCTGATAACATTGTGCAAGGCACAGATGAATATGAATAAAGAGAATTTATTCCACAAATAGTAGAAATTATCTTTAAATTGTCATTTGAGTATATGAATATTATAAATGACTTTATCCCACTACACTTGAAAACAGAAAATTTCTTAGAAATATAATTTAGTAGGAACTGGAAAACCATCTGAATGTCTACATAACTATGAAAAAGTCACCAGACCTAGATGATTTTATAGGCATCCTCTACAAAAAAGGAATAGATAACCCAATTTTATTTTTTAAAAAACTATTTTAAAAAATAAGAGAAAGCTTACGTTTTATGAAGCTATAATTTTGACTGTCTAGTTATTTTTGTTTTTTTAAATTATGGTAAAATACAACATAAACTTTACTATATCAACCATTTTTAAGTTACAGTTCTGTGGCTTAAGTACATTTATGCTGTTGTGCTACCATCACTACCACACATTCACAGACTTCATCTTATTAAACTGAAACTCCATACCCATTAAACAACTCCCCCTTTCTCCCTCCCCTCAGTCCCTGGCAAGCACCATTTTACCTTCTGTCTCTATGAATGTGAATACTCTAGGTACCTCATATAAGCAGAATTAGAATTTGTCCTTTTCTGACTGGCTTATTTTACACAGCATAAAGTCTTCAAGCTTCATCTATATTGCAGCATGTGTCAGAATTTCCTTCCTTAATAATGCTGAATATTATATTCCATTGTATGTATATTCCACATCTGGTTTATCCATTCATCTGTTAACGTTCACTTGGGTTGCTTTCACCGTTGGCTCCTGTGACTAATACTGCTATGAACATGGTGTACAAATATCTGAATGAGTCTTTGCTTTGAATTCTTTTTGGTATATGCCCAGAAGTGGAATGAACAAATCATATGGCAATTCCATGTTTTATTTTTTGAAGAGCTGTCATACTGTTTTCTACAGTGGTTGTTCCAGTCTATCTTCCTACACACAATACTGAAAGAGATTGTCTAGTTTTGAGGTCAAGATTATTCTAGCCTCATTAAATCAAAGCTTTCTCTTACCTGAATATTCAGATTGCTAATATTCTAGTATTTTTACATCTATGTCCAAGTATAAAAAAATTAATCTATATTAGAAATCTGAATAATCCAGAGATGTAAAGACAAAATTTATACATCATAATCAAACAGGATTTAGCCCTAGAATATAAGGAATTTCAAAATTTACAAAGCATATTAATGTAATTCAACATAAATGTGATAAAAGAGAGAAAAACCAGTCATTATTACCACAGATAAAAGACAGACATATAATCCAGTACTCATTTAAAGAAGTCAAGCAAATAAAAATCTGGTTTCTTTATGTCCAGGCATTTTACGGCTTTTTCACCCTTATTTTACCAAAAAATATAGCACAATATTAAAAGAGGTACAACAATAGACATCCATTTCCTGCTCTTGACTTTCAATGTTTAAGTTTTTCATCTATATTCTTTATCAGTATAAGGAGATTTACTTGGTTTTTGGTTTTCTAACTTTCTCTCTACTTTCTTGCTTCTACACTGAAACCCAAAAGGAATTAAGAAACAAATTACTGTAATAGAATTCATGACATGATAACATGATCATTAATGGCATGATTACATGATCAGTATATAAAAATCAATAATGTCCACTGACCAAACCTTGCTTTCTAAATACAACTCTCTAATTAAAACAACCAGGGGTCCTTGGGAAAAGGTTTGATGCTAGGGCTGGGACAAGAAAAATATAAGATGAATCTGAAGCATCTTATAGTATAAGATAGCAGTAAAGGAGTGCTTAATAAATAAGAAGGATAGGGTTGAATCGAAGGAACACATGATCTAGCCTGACAAGAGCCAAAGTTAAACATTTAAAAACAACTGAAAAACAAAAATAATGTATTAATAGTACTGGATTATAACCTAAGTGTAAAATAAATTTACATGAGTGCATACTAATATAAATGGTAGACTAAATAAATAAATAAATGTGGAGAAGAGGAAAACCTTCCTTGTAGAAGAATTTCAAATAGGTAATATGACCCCCTCCAGGAGGTGAAGTTCAATTTCTTCCCTTTCCCAACTTAAGGGTGGACTGTACTTAGTGCCTCACTTCTAAAGAAAAAATAGAGTAGAAAAAGGAAAAAATATTAACTTTATAGTGAAGAAATTTAGCAAACACTACTGTAACCAAGGGATGAAGGTTGGTGTCATCAGTGATGTTCTACAGATATTATGTATCCCCAAATATGATGTGATGAGAAGGGCACTTCCCCTCCATGATATTCTTTTGAAAAACCTGAAGCCCAGTCTAATCATGAGAAAAAAATCAGGTTGAGTACTTGGCCAGTACTCCTCAAAACTGTCAAGGTCATGAAAAACAAGAACAGCAAAATTGTCATAGACCAGAGGGAAGTCAGGATAATTAAATACAATGTGGTATCCTGGATTTAATCCTGGAACAGAAAGAGTACATTAATGAAAAGCCTGGTGAAATCCGAAGTGTGGAGTTCAGTTAATAGTAATGTACCAATGTCAGTTTTGACAAAAGTCTCCTGGTAATGTAAAATGTTAACAAGGCGGGAAAGCAGATGAGAGATGAAAAGGAATTCTTTTCTTCACAAACTTACGGTAAATCTTAACATTATTCCAAAATTAAATGTTTATTAAAAAGCAATGCTCTAATACTCAATTATAAGAATTACCAATTATAAAATATAATTTCAAAAATCTTTTTGGTAGCAAGAAAAACTTACTATATGTGTAATAAGTCTAAAATAAGACATGCAAAACACTTGTAGGAAAAAAATTATTTAACTGATGGATATGAAAGACCTAAAAAAGTAAATTTAAACATACCGAAGCATAATAGGAAGACTGAACATTTTAAAGATAACATTTAATCTTGAATCTATGAATTCAATATAATAATAAATGTATTGAATATTACAGTAAATATTCTTTACGACAAAAATGTTGGCAAGAATAGTGGGACTGTTTCCTATATCTGTCCAAATAGGATACAGAGGGATTTTCAAACTGCTTCTGTCTTCAAGTATTTTGATATTGCACATCATGTAGCCTCCAGAAACTTCTACTATACACCTCTAAGAGAATGAGAGTGACAAAAGCAAATACTACCTTAGTATTAATACATAAATAATTTTGAGCTTGCAGACTCACTAATAGTCCTGTGACCATACTTTGATAACCACTGTGGATAAATAATATGTCATTCCCTATTAACTTTAAGCTCTCACATTATTTTTTTCATACTTTAATATAAAAATGTTCAAACATACAGAAGAGCTGAATTTTATAACAAATACTCATATATCCAGCTGGATTCTATAATTAACATTTTACTATACTTTTTGTCATATCTCTATTTACTCATCAATAAATCTTTTTCCTCTTACTTTTTTACAATGTATTTTAAAGTAAGTTGCAAATATCAGTGTATTTTCCCCAAACTACTTTGGCATGCAAATCATTACTCAGTTTAGCAAATTTTTTGAACAGTTCTTTTGTTTCTTTTGAGGTAAAATTTACGTATCATGAAATGTACAACACAATTATGTAATTTCATGAATCCAGACAAATACCATGTATTTGTGCAACCCACATCTCTATCTAGATACAGAACATGACTGTCACCCCCCAAAAGTTCCTCATACCCTTTTCAGTAAATTGCTCACCTCTCTCTAACACACCAGAGGAAATCACCATTCTGACTTTTTCTTACTCACACTATCTTTGTCTTTTCTAGAACTTCATGTAAATGAATTTATACAATATGTACTCTTTTATGTATACATGGTATAAATTCTTAATACAATGTTTTTAGATTCATTCATACTATTTTTTTAATTATTAAAAGTTAATGTACCTACCATGAAAATGACTATCAAGATGAGACAGATGCCCACTATGATAAGGAAAGGAATTAGGTAGTATTCCAAAGGAAGACTAAATTCTGGAACTAAGATAAGGTGGCCCCTAGAAGAAAACCAAAATCAATAATTGAGAAATGAAGAGTTGTCAAATTATGATGTTAATTAAAAATAAGAAAAAATATTTTTAAAAACAGACATATAGACATTACAATTAAATCCACTATACACATTTCATTTTCTAAAATATGACTTCCAATAATTTAAGGAATGCTTTCTACATCTTTAAGTCTATTTTACATATTTTTCCTAATAGTATACCTATATGATTAAACTGGGTAAAGAAAACTAGCCAATCAATACTGTGTCTATCCTAGAGAGATTTCATTTATTTTATTTTATTTAGAAGGAGTCTCGCTCTGTTGTCCAGGCTGTAGTACAGTGGCACAATCTCAGCTCACTGCAACTTTCACTTCCCAGGTTCAACTGATTCTTCTACCTCAGCCTCATGAGTAGCTGGGATTACAGGCTGGCTAATTTTTGTATTTTAGTAGAGACGGCGTTTTGCCATGTTGGCCAGGCTGGTCTTAAACTCCTGACCTTAGGTGATCTGCCCAACTCAGCCTCCCAAAGTGTTGGGATTACAGGCATGAGCCACCACACCAGGTCTAGAGATGTTATTTACTGAATTTGGTAACCTGGGAAAAAGTTATATTTTATATGTAAAATCATGGTAGCACCTTGGGTATCAACAAGAACCTCCACCTCAATCAAATTAATGTTCATAAATTCTTCCTATGGAAAAATTCTAGAGTCAGTACTGATGGAAATTATACTGTTTCCTCCCTATCTGCTTTACATGTATCTGTTGTACCAGTTAAAATGGATACAGGTCCTATACCCTACAATTGTCTGTGAGATATAGAATGAAAATCTGGTCAAAGATTTCATAAGAGTTATGGTTTCCTGTATATCCCCCACCTTCTCCATCACCAGACTAAAAAAACCTACATAAATGTGTATGTTATAATGTGGGGAATAGGAAATGCTACATGCCTTAATTCTCATTTGTCATTAACCATGTTATTACTGTGACATTATCATTATAAAAATTGAAAGGGACCCAGGAAATAAAACTGTAATCAGAATAAGCACATCATTTGTGTTGCATGAGGAAATTTTACATGGCATCAAAACTTTGCATTAAAAATATCCTTAGTTTAGGGAAGAGTCTGTATAATGTTCAGTAATATGACAGATCACTCCACTGGGTTCACTGTGCTACTAGACTAGTATGCTGCCAGCAAAGCTACTCTGTTATCCACTACTAGTTAATTTTGCAGGTAGCGAAGCCAGGTATTTCATAACAGAAAGGTTCAATGCAAAACAAGAGTTCTCAGTATAAAGAAAAATAAAAACAGATTTACTCCTTTCCTCGTACAGAGGTACTTAGGACACCATAGTACTTACTTAAGAGAAATAATACGAAAATCACTTATTTCTTTCCGAGGCTATTTTTAAATCTTCATGCTATTATTTATTATACACACATACAAGGGGCTCTATCAAGCTTCCACAAACAAAAAAGATAATACTAGGAATTTTCCTCAAACTTTCTAAAAATTGCTACGATTGCTAGCTTTTTACTTCAATCACTTTCCAGCAGAATGGGGAATGACAAAGGATTTCATACACATTTTTATAGCCTGGCAGAAAATATTAAAGTAACTAATATATCATCAGTGTAAAAAAAAGAAAATCAGCAGCAGCAGGGCCTAAGCTGCTGTATTTGATACCACCTTTTCTAGCATGAGGCCAGCCAGCTCTACAAATAATATCCCTGTTCTCAGCACATACCCTCTGAAACTGCCCTGAGCCAGTGGTACCACTTTTAAGTATAAGAGCCTTTCCATGAGACGCCAATCCTCTATAACCTCCCTACCCCACAGCCACTAACATGCTATAAATTAACATTGTTGGGGTTTAGAAGCCAGACTATTGCATATCCTAAATTCAACCCATTGTAACTTAGTATCTCAGCAGTAGGAAGGCTTACAACTCTCATATTCTTTGTTTTTCTTCTCTTCTTGTTTATGACTTCCTAAGACACATTCAGCCTTGATGAGATAAACAAACAAATTCTGTCCTATGAGACAATCCCGAGGGTTGCTCAGAATAAACAGAGCTGCTAGGTGAGAAGGAGCAACCTAAAAGAACAAATCAGGAAGTTCCAGTGAACTAGAAACTTCCTGTGTGTTTGTAACTATAGAAATGGAATCAATTCCAGAACCTTCCAGTAAGCATTGTGCTAAGATTCATAGGCCTGGGTTCTAAATCTAATATTCCACATATCCTATTAATGCTTTCCATTATAAACTAAATACCATTTTAGTTTACTGTCAAGGATTGTAGGATTGTGAGGATTTTAAAGGGTCAACCATTGATAAAAGATTTGGAGCATCTTGCCTGTAATCTCAGCACTATAGGCCAGGGCAGGTGGATTGCTTGAGGTCACAGGCATTCGAGAGAAGCCTGGCCAACATGGCAAAACCCCATCTCTACTAAAAATACCAACAACAACAAAAAAAGTTAACCAGGCATGGTGGCGGGTGCCTGTAGTCCCAGCTACAGGGGCTGAGGCATGAGAATCGCTTGAACCCAGGAGATGGAGGGTACAGTGAGCTGAGATGGCACCACTGCACTCCAGCCTGGGTAACAAAGTGAAGCTCTATCTCAAAAAAAAAAAAAAAAAAAAAAAAAAATTGGTTTGGAGCATCTTGAATCAAAAGCTCAATGTACATTCAAGATACTGTTCTGTTCTTAACCAAATTACTAATGGTGGATGTGGTGATAGTGATGATACAGGAAACTATAGCAGAACTACAACAGAATTTCAGTATTTTGTCTTCATTTCTATTTCTTCTGTCAGGCCAGGTCTCCCACAGCTGAACTTTAAGACTTATCCTTGCCCTAGTCCCAGATTAATCTGTATTTGAGCAAGAAGGTATTTAAACAGCTTCAGTAAGTATCCTACCACACTGCCTCCATGTCAATGCCTAAATACAGCACATCTTAAGAGCTCTGCAGCTAAGATCTGATCATTGAAGCAGAGTCCTAAGCAATCCAGAAAATAAGGTCCTATGTTTCTTTGTGTGACTTCCCAGGCTAATTTCAAACCAGCTGCCTAGGCTTAAGCTTTATAATAACAACCTGTCTAATTTCCCCATCCTTCTGTTGACACATGAAGTCTTGTCTGTTCTTTCTGACATCCATCCCCCACCAATCAAACTACTGAGCCTCAGTGGATTTACAGCCACAGAGCAGAGCCTTCTGTCCTAGAAATCAGCTTTCTAAGCAACAACCTATATTCAGCCCAACTGCTGGATGTCCCCACTATTTCAGCTGATTACTTGCTTGAACTTGCTCCTTTCAGACAAAGCTCACAGCTGCCTCATTAAACATCCTACATCCCTTAATAAACAGGCTCAGTGCTCAGCCCTGTGTCCCTATTTGTGGAACTCCCTGTTTTGCTGTCAGTACACTGCTCTGTCTTCTTGAGGAATCCTGAGGTAGCATAAAAGCAGTTTAATTTCAGTAGAATTTACCAAATATCTACTGTGATGTAGTCTTTGGGCCTGGTGCTAGGGATTAAATGTGAAAAAATAGAATCCCTACCCATCAGAGAGAATACAGAGATCTTAGAGTTGAAAGGAAACTCAAAGTTCTTTGTTCTAAGTCTTCATTTTCAAAAGAGAAAATATGTCTACGAAGATTAAATACCCACAAAGGTCACAACCCCAGCAATCCCTCCAGTATACCTCATTACTCACTCTGATCAAAAACAAGCTTTGTCTCTGACTACAACTTGTAAAATTTGTATGTTTTCCAGTAATTTGCCTTCCCTAATAAAAAGTTACAAAATGCTTCTAGAATTTATTTAAAAGACCAAAATGGACAAAGGACACCAAACAGTTTATAAAAATGTTCCCTATGAATAAAGAAATGCTAATCAGACCAGCTCATTTTCTTCTTGTCAGATTGGGAGGTCATAAAAAAGACTGATAATATATATTTCTGACAAGAGTAGGGGAAAACATTGGCTTTCCTAAAATGTTGGTGGAAACATAATTGGTTCAACCTTTTTTAAAGGGCAACATGACAACTGTTTACTGAATTTTAAAATTGTTTCTCCTTAATCAAAAAAATTCCACTGTTAGGTGCTTTTGCTAAAGAAACATTAGTGCGTTTGCATATAACATGATCAAGGATATCATTATAGCACTTTCTATAACAGACAAAAATTGGAAGGAGAATAAGAGTTAACATTTATGAAGCATTTACTAAGTCCCAGGTATTCTTCTAAGAATGTTATTCATGTGTTTAATCCTTCCAGCAATACTACATGCATTGTAGGTACTATTATTGTTCACATTTTAATGAAGAAAGAGGCTAAGGCCCAGAGATAATGAATTTTTTGTTGAAGGTCATACATCTAAGAAGTGACGGGTAGATTGCAAAAATTTTTTCCCATTCTGTTGATTGCCAATTCACTCTAATGATTGTTTCTTTTACTGTGCAGAAGCTCTGGAGTTTATTATAGGTCTTCACATGTACCCCAAAACCTAAAACGCAGTAAAATATATATTAAAAAAAAAAGTGATGGAAGCCAGGATTTGAATCCACATGGTTCCTATTCCAGAGGTCATGCTTATAGCCAGTGGCTTACTAAGTAAATTAGGGTATTTCTAAACAATCGACTATTGTTAAATCCAGAATATACCATCCTTTTTAACAGTAGTTAAAAGAATGAACAGTAGCTAAAAAGAATAAAGTACAATAAAACAGTAATTGATGAATACTTTATTAATATGATAAAAAACTAGAATCTTAAAGAGAAAATGAAAAGCTTTCTCACTAAAGAGAGTAACAAGAGAAAGATGCCTATCTCCACTACTATTTAACATGGTGTTAAAGTTATTACCAATGCAATTAGATAAGGGAAAGCAATTAGAAGCGTAAGAATTGGAAAGGAAAAGATAAAACTATTCCCATTTATATGAAAAAATTACCATCAACAGTAAGAGCATTTAGTCAAATTGCAGGTTATAATATCAACACTCAAAAATGAGCTTTCAGCTGTACAAATAAAGACCAGTTAGTAGATATAATGAAAGAAGAGACTCCACTTATGATAGCAAACAATACAGTACCTTAGCATAAATTTAACAAGAAATGTTTATCTCACATAGATTTTGGACTAAAAAAAAAACAAACAACTGAATATATAAAAACAGAATTGGCTGGGGGTGGTGGCTCAACCACGCTTGTAATCCCAGCACTTTGGGAGGCTGAGGCAGGCAAACTGCTTGAGTCCAGGAGTTCAAGACCAGCCTGGGCAATATGCTGAAACTCCATCTCTACTAAAAATACAAAAAAATTAGCTGGGCAAGGTGGTATGTGCCTACAGTCCTAGGTACTCAGGAGGCTGCAGTGGGAGGATCATCTGAGCCTCAGAGATCAAGGCTGCAGGGAGCTGAGATCATGCTACTGCACTCCAGCCTGGGCAACTAGAATGAGACATGAGACCCTTTTTAAAAAAAGAAAAGAAAAAGCAGAATTGAACAAATAACAGGACATACCAAGCTCTTGACTAAGGAGACTTATTCTAAAAATGTCAATTCTTCCTAAATTAATTTATGAATATAATATAATCTCAATAAAAATATCAGGTTTTTCTGAAGCTAGATCAGCTGATTATTAAATTCCTTTGGAAGGAAAAATTGGAACCCTCATACATTGCTGTTGTGTGAATATAAAATGGTGAAAGCACTTTGGGAAAAAGTCTGGCAGTTCCTCGAAGTATTAAACATACAGTTACCATATAATGCAACAATTCCATTCTAGGTATATACCAAAGAGAAATAAAAACATATGCACATGTAAAAATGTGTACTAAATAGTGGAAAAAAAGCATTATTCATAATAGTGAAATTGTGGAAACAAGCTAAATGTCCACCAGCTGATGTACAGATAAACAAATGTAGTATATCCATACAATGGAATACTACTCAGCAATAAAAAGAATAAAGTATCAATATATGCTACGACATGATGAACCTTGAAAACATTACATTAAATGAAAAAAAAATCACAAAGGAATATATATTATTCCTATTTATGTGAAATAACCAGAATTATTTCTTATGCTTAAAAGCTATTTATATTTTATTTTTTATGAGCCTTTTAAGCATAAGAAAAAATGCTCGAATTTGCTTTTAATCAGAGAAATATACATGAACACTATATTAGAATACCATTTGTCACCTATCTGATTAGTAAAAATTAAAAAAAAAACCTGACAACGACTTTGTTAGTGAGGCTACAGTAAAAGAGACACCCTCATAAACTGCTGGCATGACCCTTATGGATGGGTATTTGACAATATCTAGCAAAAATATATATATATTTAACCTCTGAACTAGCAATCCTACTTCTAAAAATCTATTCCAAAGTATATTGGGAAAAAATGAAAACATTTATGCATAAGGTTATACATTACTGCATTATTTATAATTACAAAATAATGTAAACAATTCAAACGCTGATCAACAGGGGACTGGCTGATTAAACTGGAACATCCACAAAATAAGAGTTCTATGAAGCTATATAAAAGAATGAAGAACATCTCTACCTACTCAAGGATAAACTATTAAGTCAAAAGCAGGACGAGGAATAGTGTTTATGTAGTAAGGGTAGAAGTTAAGGGAGAAGATATATATTTTTTCCTATATATTTTTAAATTTAATGAACTAAAGAATATATTAAAATCTTTTAAAAATTCTAACTTATGAGGTAAGGTTAGGAATAAGATGGACAAGATGGATGATACTTAGAATCTGAACTTCTTTGAATATACATTGTTTCATTGATTTTGACCTAAAGTTTATATATAATTTTTAAAATCACACTTTGAGGTAAGAGGAGCAATCTCTAAAATCTAAAAACAAATGAATCACATAAACCTGTGTTTTCAGTTGATGATATCAGCACACAGACTATTTGACTTATCTTTTAAAAAAATAATTTGCCTGTAGCCCCCAGCTACTGAAGAGGCTGAGGTAGGAGGATCACTTGAGACCAGGAGGCAGAGGTTGCAGTGAGTCAAGATCATGCCACTGCACTCCAGCCTGGGCAACAGAGCAAAAGCCTGTCTCAAAAATAATAATAATAATAACGTGACTTTACTTATTTATTATGATATACTCTAACCAGAGAAAAACTGTTTTTTTTTAAATGTTGGTAATAGCATTCTTCTAAGTCTGTTGTGTATATACTCTATAATTAGAAAAGAAAATACTGTGTTGATGTCTTTCAGCATAGAAAAATAAAATACACATTTAAGATCAATAAAGTAAAAATTCTAGACTCTTGAATTTAAATAGAAAGTAACGTAGATACTCATGATTTACTGTATCTTTAAAAGCCATATATATTTCCTAGTTCTGCCCACTAAAAGAAAGAGAGTGGGCTTGAGGGTGAAGCAGGTAGGTAGGTAGGAGACAGATAATAAATAGACAGACAGATAAATAGATGACAGACAGACAGATAGAGATCTTTACGTACAGCTCTATAATTCCCCATGCACAATTCTAAAATCCAAAAAGCTTTAAAAAATAATGTTTGTAATTCATTTGACAGTCAACTTGAAATGAACTGACATGAAAAAAATAGCCATATATTTACTGCAGATACATTAATTTATTTGATTATGGGGTGTTACCTCGAATTCTATTTGGAATGTTATTTAACTTTTTAAAATTTAAAAATTTTTCATTGCCACAATATACTGTCCCCAAGAGATGGGATAAGAGAGTTTGTAAACTTGTGTTTGCCTAGAAAGGGTCAAACTATTAAGTAAATAAAGCAAATTACAAATTATTATGTATTGTATGGTTCCATTTTATAAGCACATAATCACTAATTAATGTCAATAATCAAATATGAGGAAAAGGGGCTTTTAAAAAAACGGTAGTTGTTAGAGAGTAATTTCATATAGGGACTTTCACTTTAAATGTTTAATATTTCAATTTTTCCATATTTTGCTAGCATATATATATTACTTTTTAATTTTAAAAAGTATGGTCTTATAATTAAAAACAAAAAAGACTTTAAAATACACTTTAAAATACACATTAAAATATATAGAAGTATTCTAAATGATGGAGCAATATTGAGGTAAAAGCAAGTACTAATTCTCCCCTTTTAATATGGCTGATAAAACACCACCTTGCATAATTGTTTTTCGATACAACTTCCAAAATTACATTCCTTAACTTAAAAAAAATGTTCTGAGCATGTAATATGTGAACAGTATTTTAAATATCAACACTGTAGTGGGGAAATAACAGTAACAGTAAACAGAAAACCTTGCTCTCTTTTATGCATTTTCAAACTCAAATATTTGTGGATTTCTTTTCACCTAAATACTTAAAATTGGATTTCATTGTGCCAGTTTCCTCTTTTGACAAATGTAGATAATAAGCGATAATAACAACAACCACTAGAGGGTTGTTGTGAAAATTAAACGGATAACAAATGTGTAAATCTTGCTTTCATGAGTGCCCACTCTTGCTAAATGCTCAGTAAATACTAGCTGCTTTTAGTAATATTTTTGTTGTTCACTAAGTCAAAAGTCTGTTACAATCCACTACGTTTTGGGGATCTGGAAGAACCTCTGAAGGTTCATCATACTGTTTTCTATATATTTTCTATATTAGAAATATTTTCCATATTAGATAAGACAGCTGTGTCTTAAGTTAACTTGAGTCGGTATGTTATCTTGGTAATGAGATTTTTTTTTGTGGGGGTGGGGGAAGAATAGTTTTACATAAAAATTTTCATTCAAATCGAACTTCTAAAACTTGAAAACTGACTTTTTGTCTTTGTAAATGTTAGTCACTTAACACAGTGTTTTTGATTCTGTGTTTATTATATATAAAATATCTTTTTAATAATATACATTTCTTAATAGAAAATGTCATATAAACATAAATTGTGTTATTTTAAAATACTAGTAGTTTGATTAAATTGTAAAATGAAAAGTTACCTTATCTTTTTAGCAACAAGGGTGCCTTTCACTAGCATGAATATATTTTCAACATAATCATACAAAGTAAAAGCAGTAAAACACTTTAAAATACTATGTCTTAAAAGCATAATGACTTAAAAAGGGGTAATTTTAGCATACAGAGTTCATTCTGAAACATAATCTTGATTACAATATCATATAATTCTACCCTAATATAAAGAATATTAAGCAACATGATTTTTTTATATCCATTACTCACCCTTTTTCATATGTGAATTCATCTTTCAGAGAATTAGCTGATGATTCACCAATAAAGACAGATGGAATGTCAATTTTCTTTAGTATTTCAACTGTATAAAAGAATAATAAAATTATTCTTAAAAGCCCATACTTAGTGCATAATCAACTTAACTTTTTTCATAATAGCAGCAAATGCAACTGGAAACAATTACAATCAACTTTAATTGTCTATTGCTTGATTTTTCCAGATTGCAGATTTTACTTATCATCAAAATGGTTGAGAAACATAACATTTACAGTAACAAAGCTAACATTTTGCACATATATGTTACCTGAATTGTCTCAATAATCTATGAGATTGAGATGTAACTTTTATTTTTAATATTTCCATTTGATTTTTTTCCTCTCTAGACATAGCTTATTAGAGAAGAAAGATGAAGGAAGAAATTTTAGGTTTCCTTCCCACACATAATTACTAGATGAAAAAGAGAAAAGCTTATTTTACATACCCATTTCCAGGAGAGGTATAAGCCAGAGACTATAAGGAAAGAGAACTTTGCAGCAATCTAAAAAGTAATACCACATTTCTCTGGCTTTCCAGAGAAAGGCTGACAGGAATTGAGAAAGGGAATAGAAGGGAATAGAGCAGGAAAGCTGGGTAAATTTCTACTTCCTCATAAGCCTGAAGCTCATGGCAAAGCTTTGTGTTTGATTGGTATCTTAAGATATTTGACTCTTATACCCATATTCAAAACCAAAATCAAACGTCACTCAAAAAGAATTCTGTAAAAATTACCCGTTACTCAGGAACAGAAATAAAAACAATCCTCTTAATGTGCGAATAGAAAAAGCAGCCTCATTATTAGCTGCGAGTTAATTTAACACATTTGGCTTTAGAGAAAGCCCAATTTGTTCCCTTTTTAAAGTGTTCAAAATAACTTTGTTCTGTGTTTTAAAAACAATGCATATTCATTATAAATTTTAAAGGGGGGGGAGGCAAGTAAAGAAAAAGAAAACAAAACCATAATCCTTCCCATCCAAGGACAAATGTTTTATTTGAAGTAATAAGCAGTTCTGTAAGTTGTGACAAATACAATTATAACCACAACCACAATTATGCTCTAGAATGTTCCACCACCCACCAAAATTCCCTCATATAGTCAACCCCTCCCCCTAAACCCATAAACCACTGATCTATTTTGTTGTTCTTGTTTTCATCCTTATAAAGTTTAAAATCTCTATATACTTGGTGGAGTAAGGTTTTTTCCACTTCTAGAGTATTTTAGGCAAATACAAACATTCAACTCTCACACATTCTCTCTCTTTCTCTCGTATACACACACACACACACACACACACACACACACACCAGGAAAAAACATGTAAGTCCCAAAGCCCAAATGGGCAGAAACCAAAAACATTAGTCAAGAAATATTTAATCGCTATTTTTATATCAATGTGATTAATATAATTTTATTTTTTAGATCAATGGGATCATGTAATTTTTTAAAGTGCAAGCACTTTTTCTACAGGATACAACTCAGATATCCTGTTATGTCAATAAATACAGATCTACCTCATCATTTATTTTTATTTATTTATTTATTTATTTATTTTAGAGACAGGATATTGCTATGTTGCTCAGGCTCCAGCACAGTGGCCACTCACAGATGCCACAATTGAGTACTTCTGCCTGTAACTCCTGGACTCAAGCGACCCTCATGTGTCAGCCTCCCAGATAGCTGGGGCTACAGGCATTATTTCCTTTTTCTTAATAGATGCAGAGGTATTGTTATAAGACCAAATATATTTTTCATATTTGGGAGATGTTTTCTATCTTGCTATTTTCTCTACCACATATGAGTTTAAAGCTTATTTTGGTACTTAAAACTTGGAATTATATACCCTGTGTATGAGGCTTTATTCTTTCATGAAGATGCTTTTGGTTTGTAACTACCGGCAATAATATTGGAAGTAACCTAGCTTCTTTGAATTACGGTATCTAAAGAGATGTAGAAAGCGCCTTACTTTAATAAAATGATTAAGAAAAAGGGTGAAAATACTGTATACAAATATGAGTAGCCATCTTGAAAATGGTAACATTATCTACCAAAAACAAAACTAAATATATTTTACTTCACAAAATACTTCTAAAACACTCTAATTTTGATCTGTAAAACAACTCTGTGAAGTATATACTGACAAACAAAGATAAATTATAATTTGAATGACCCAACCCCAACTTCTCCAGATTCATATATCCAATTGCCCATTCAGTATCTCCATTTGATTGCCTAATAGATATTTCAAACGAAGTTTCTCAATTAAACTCTGAATGTCTCCTTTCCCTCAATCTATCAACTCTATTTCTCACCTCTGTAAACAGCACAGCCATTCACTTTGTTTCTCAGGCTAAACATCTTGGAGTCACCCTTGACTCCTCCTTTTCCCTTACTCCCAATACCAAATCCTGTCAACTTCAAAATATAGCCATATTCCTATCACTTCTCATTACTTTAACTACTAATACTCCAAACCACCATGACTCTTGCTTGGCTGTTTCAGCAACTGTCTAAATATTCTCTGTTGGCACTTTTGCTCAGCTTTCGCCTTCAGTGTTCTCTCCAAATAACAGCAAAAGCGCTCCTGTCATAAAATATGTCATATTACCTTACATACCTGTTTAAAACTTATTTATTTGGAGATGGAGTCTCACTCTGTTGCCAAGGCTGGAGTGCAGTGGCACGATCTCAGCTTACCACACCCTCCGCCTCCCAGGTTCAAGTGATTCTCGTGTCCCAGTCTCTCGAGTATCTGGGACTACAGGTGTGCATGCCACCACAGCTGGTTAGTTTTTTTATATATCTAGTAGAGACAGGGTTTCACCATGTTGCCCAGGTTGGTCTCAAACTCCTGAGCTCAGGCAATCCTCCTGCCTTGTCATCCCGAAGTGCTAGGATTACAGGCCTGAGCCACTGTGCCCAGCCTAAAACTTATTTAAAATAAATTCCAAAGTCTTTATCATGGCTGACAAGGCCCATCATATTTGACCCCTTGCTCCTTCTCTAACCTTATCCCCTGCCACTCCCTCCCTTGTTCACTACTCCAGCTATTGTGGCTTTATGCCACACTTTGGAATCAGCAAGCATGCTTTATCTTCAGTTGTTGTGCTTGTTGTTCCCCCACCTTGGAATACCCTCCCCTTCAGAAATCTGCATGACTCAGCCTCTAACTTTAGATCTGTGCCTAAATTACAATGCCTCACAGAAGCTTTCTCTGACCACCCTATCTAAAATAGCTGCCTTCCTTTCATCTCTGTCATTCTATATCCCCCTTATGCTGATGTTTTTCTTCATAGCATTTATCTCTACTTGACATTATAGCACATCTATTTGATTATGTATTCATTTCTTCTCTCCTACCCTAGAATGCAGTAAAATGATAATAATTACAATAATAACAGCTGAACAACCATTAAAATGATTGCTAAGAACCAGGAAGCCTTCTAGATGCTTAACAGGCCTTAATTCATTCAATCCTCATAGTAACTCAATGACTTAGGTACTATTATTATCCCAGTTTCATAGATCAGAAAAACAAAAGCATATAGATATTAGGTAATGGACTCAAGGTCATACAATTACTAGGTGGTAGAGCTAGGATTCAAACCCTGACAGGCAGTACCCAGAAAGCACTTTCTTAACTACTGTACTCTACTACCTCAATGAAAGATACGAAGGTAGAGCCTCTGACTGTATCATTACTTGCTATAGTCACAGTGCTTAAAACACTGCAGAGTAGGCTGTCAAAAAGCATTTGTTGAAGGAATAAAGCAAAGGAAAAAAATGAGAAAAAAATGACGCAGAGATATTAATAACTTGACCTGGTTATACAGTTAAATATTTACACAATTTGGACTCAAACTTAAGGCTTCTGCCTCCTTACCTAGGCTCCTCCCACTCTGCCATTGCATAAGTTTTCTAATATACCTTCTCTCACATGATTTTTACAAATTTGTCAGGTAAAATAATATTAAAATTAGTTACACTATTACAGATGAAAATAATGAGCTTATAAAGATTAACTAACTTTACACAGGTACCTGGTTTGTATATTAACTAGCCTGGTTTAGAATAAACCACGTATTTCCTGGCTCTGAAGTTGGTATCCTTCCTACCACTTTCTGCTGTTTACTAAAGATAATGAATGTTATTGGTTCACTGAATTAATCCATTCTGTTCCTGGCTGAAATAAAAAATTGGTACATTCCTTACATAAAGTATCAATAGGAAGGGGCTTCTAAAACTTCCTTTTGTTTCCAATGTTAGTATCTCTAAGGGGTATAAGATACCAATATTCCTAGGGAAAGCCTTGAAAGAGGAACAGATACAAGCCTCTTTTGATAAATCCATGCTTTTCTTACCTCTACCAAGTAACAGCACAGATGAAAATGGTAAAGATCTTTACAACATTTGTCTCTGAACATATAAAATGTTTAAACACATGCGCAAAGATGGAGCAAAATATCATAGAAAATAATCTAAGCAACAAAGTCAAGAACCGAAATTCTGAGCAGTCTTTGAATAACAACTCAGTTGAAACATTTCCACGGCAACCGCAGGCTTATATGGTTATGTGCAACTTTTATTATTGAACATATTCTCTTTAGGAGCTGACATGATTATTGCAAAAAGTGTTTACAGTATTATAAAGACAAAATAAGTGATAAAGGGAACTGACAATTCAGCCTGCAAAAGTTTTACTGAAAACATGTCAAAGGAGTAAATAGTTTACAAATAATAATCAGTTCGTTCAATCTAAAACATATGTAGCTCTTGAGAAGGTGTTGAAGATTTGCTAAATCCTTACACAAAAAGTAATTAACTTGCTCAAAGTCATACAACTGATACACGTAGAATTTGATTTTGAATTCAGGCCTATCTATTTCCAGACTATGCATGCTTTCCATTTTGCCAATAAGTGTATAGAGATCACAACAGTTACTCACCCTGGGATGTATCAAGTGGGATAATTTTTTTTAAGAGGGAAATAGTTAAAGGAGGAGAAGTAAAATGTATCATATTGGCAGTACTAACATTACCAGTTCATTTGATAAGTAAACTCACTTCATCAAGTAAGTCCTATAATTCCCATGTAGTAGCTGTCTAATTATTCCTGAAATGCTAAAACTTCTTATAGGTACTTAATGGATCTACAGTCATGAAGATTAAATCAGCTACGAGGTTAAAATAATAATTTAAAATATAAAGCAATTCACTAAGAAATACATTAATAAATTTTACTTTTTATATATTATAATTTTGCCTCACTATATCAGGGTTAAGAAGGACAAAACCAAAAACAACAGAAAACACCATCATAGGCTAAAAGAAGACTTTCTGGTTAAGAAATATAAAATATGTCCTATATAGGATATAGTTATTTAAACTCCTAAATACATTCCAATGTTTTCTATCAGTCTGTAGCTTTATGTCTATACTTTGCTCTACTTTGAAAATATGAATCAATAGGACTTAGTAGCAAAAGATATTATGGTTATGCACTAAAAAATATAAAATAAAATAAATTATAATCATGAGTGTTGACAGTAAATCATCTTATATCAATTAGAAAGGTTTTGATAATACCCCATAGTGCCCTGAGTCAAAGAAACTACATTAAGTGAAACATAGAGCTTAAGTCAGTGTCTTATTATAGCCAGTTATTTCACTAAAATTGGCTCATTTTTCCCTACAAGCTAATAATTAGTAGACAGTAAGGAAAGACATTCCCATCTGAAATGAAAAACTATGAACATGTCAACGTACGACAAAGGACAAATAACCAACTGGTATAAGAAAGCCCAAATATATGGCTTTGAAATTCCAGCAGGTTATAGCAGCTACTGAGTACCTCTACATACCCTAAAATGTAATGCTATGACTCTAAATAAATCACAAAAAGCCCTTTATGGCATTCTTAAGTCAGCATGTTTATCTTTATTAAAGCTGTTGTACCCCCCTTTGGTTTTTACCAAAATATCAATAAATAAAACACAGAGGTTTAAAAAAACAGTTCAGAAAAGAAAAATTAAGTTTCATCTCTATTACGAATAAAATCATCCAAAGAGAATTAAGAATGGGAAATTAGGCCGGGCGCGGTGGCTCAAGCCTGTAATCCCAGCACTTTGGGAGGCTGAGGCTGGTGGATCACGAGGTCGAGAGATCGAGACCATCTGGTCAACATGGTGAAACCCTGTCTCTACTAAAAATACAAAAAAACTGGCTGGGCGTGGTGGCGCGTGCCTGTAATCCCAGCTACTCAGGAGGCTGAGGCAGGAGAATTGTCTGAGCCCAGGAGGTGGAGGTTGCGGTGAGCCGAGATCGCGCCATTGCACTCCTGCCTGGGTAACAAGAGCGAAACTCCGTCTCGAAAAAAAAAGAATGGGGAATTATCTGATAGAGAAAAGAATCTGATTTTTAAAAAGAAAATGAGAGAAGGAAAATCCTGTTAATTTTTAGTTACAAATTATCTGTCAAACAGGAGAGAAGAAAAGTGATACCTGTACTTACTGTCGTTGGATCCCATGCTAATGAGGTCATCAGAATCAACATTGTGAACTATGGCTGCTTTGTATCCTGCTCTCTGTGCATTTAAAACCTGCAAAAAAAAAAAAAAAAAAAAAGAAAAAAAAATATATATATATATATGTATATATATCTCATGTTATAAGGAAGACAGTGGTTTGTTGTTATATCCCTCAACTCTATATAAATCAACAAGTCTATACTACATATCTAGGACTGGATTATGAACACGTAGAAATAAATCTCAGGTATGTCTTGAAACATACAGATGTTTTACAATTGATTATCAAAAACTTCTTGAAGTAAATAAAGGATGAGGATATAAGCTAAAACATTAAAAGGACCCAAACCAATAAATCTGTGTTGCTCTAAAGAGGTAGAAACTTGCTTTAATCAGGGTTAGGAGTCACCAGACCTAGAGCATTTAATTCCTACCTCTGCCCATATTAATTAGTGGGATGAACTTGAGCAAATTATTTCTTTTGTAATCCTCAGTTTCCTAACCTTTGAAATGAGAATGACAATATTCTTCTCCTATGTAAAATAATACTTTTAAAATGCATAATACCATGCCTAATACATAGTAATGAGTCAGATAAAAGCAATTCATATGGCTAGCTTGATCATCTAAAATATTCTGTAAAATTCCTTTCTAAAGCTTTTTAAAAAATTAAAAATACCTGCAGGCAGAAGTTGCTTACTCTAGCTATTTGATCTTTCTTAAAGCTAGCCTCCAAAATAGTAACATTTGCACGATAAGAATATAGTTGGATGTGTGGCAGAATTTTCTTACATGAAAAATCTAGAAAGTGTCAAAACATGTTATTACATCTCATTTTAAAAATAATATTCTAAGTAAAAATAAACCGAGACCTAAACTACTTATTGCATGACCTTTAGACTATTAGCAAAAATGAAGGAGCAGATCATTATTTGCATATTGGTTGAATAAAACAAAAATTGGGAGGGCAAACATACATATACATAGTTTTGAATACTTGAAATACTTTCTAATATATAGAGTTCTGGATATTAATTGTAGTAAGAAACTCTTGAAATACATTACCTTATGAGCATTGCATAATGGTATGTCTCAAAGTGATTGTTAAGTGTTCTTAAGAAACAGGCATATTAATTTTTTAGAAGAATTTCCAGGTCTAATATTAGCTCTGTTTCAGTTATCAGCATTATAATGATTCAACACTCTGCTATAATTCAATAAAAATAAAACCTGAGTCATGTTCCAAAGGTCCAGGGAAAGCCCAAAGAGTCAAGTTCCCAAAAGTAAAAAGGATGTGCAATTATTCAGACTCTGGATCTGAAAGCTAGGTAAGAGAAATGAGGTCTACATATCAAAACCCAGTAAGGTCAGTTGGCTTGGCACAGAGAAAAATTCTCTTCTACACTATTCTTGACATCTCTAAAACTACCCTACCAATTCCAGTTAGATTTCTGCAAAGGACAACAGTGTGGATAAATCAGAATAATATTAACCTATTACTGAAAAAAACTAAATCTGTAGGAGATATGACTACCCCAAGAAATTAATACTTTGTTCATCTTACAGTCTCCATAGCACCTATGAAATAGCCTGACACAGGGTAGGCACTTATTAAATATTACTTAAATAAATTCAACATATTTTTTAAATGTGCTTAAATTAATTGTTCATAACATTACACACACAGGAGATAAAATCAGGCAGAAAGTGATTTTTTTAAACTAATTAAAATAATATAAATTGTTCACTGGCACAGGACTTACTACTCTAATGTAGGAATAATGGCAAGAAATCAACCAGTCAACAAAAGTGTAACAAGTATGTTCTGGAGTTGTGCAAAGAAGGGTCAATAATCAAAAAAGTAAGTTTAGCATTTTTGCATATGAGTACACGTTTTATTTTTAGGTGGATTTTGTTATCCAATGAATATTGAGAAAATGCCAGCCCCCCACAGCCTCTTCCCCTTAGATATCATTATTTTCCAAAGGGAGGAAAAAAATAACCTCTTATGAATGTAGTTTATAAACCTTAATTATTTGTTACATATATTAACTTATTATTTATGCATTATGTTACCATGGCAGTACAGACTTCACTTGGCTTTTATTTAAACAAAAGTACACTCAGTTGGGGTTACTACTAGTTTATCTGATGCTTTCACGACCATTTTAACTTTTGTCAAATAGCTAACCAAGGAACTGAGGAGAAAAGTTTCTTTCCACACCCAAAAAATGTTGCCAAAAACACAAGAAATATAAAATTAGACCAATACTAAAAGCTATTTCCTGCTAATGCAAAACTTAAGTTTTAATTTCTTTTTAAAGCCAACCAGTGCACACAGTCACTGAAATTACATAATTTAACTTTTTTCCCTGAGTAAAAATATATATGATAGCAAACATGCAATATGTTAGAACACAGAGAAAGGTAGTCTCAGGAACCACAACAATGAGTAAAAACTATAGCTGAATTCAGCAAGTAGCTGCTGAGCTTACATAATGAGTAAAATAACTGTATCCATACTAGGCACAATGTGAAACCTGAGGGTCAATCAAAAAGTCATTATCCTTCACTGGCAGTATTTGTTTAAAAACAAACAAATGAATGAAAGTTATTACCCTTAAGGAAATTTCAATACTCATAGATAGCCAAACAGGTCAGTTGTTTTCTTGACCCTGTGTAGAAATCGGCTTTGTCTTGTGAATGCCTATCAGTACTTCAAATTCCATCATCTCCATGAAGCCTGTCCTATCCTGTACCCCTATGCCAAATGTACTCACATCAATTTCTCCCTGCTTAGAGTATTTATGTCAATCTGTTTATATTTTTCTTCAAGATCTTATATAGTGTCTTATACTTACACATATTCATGTCATATCCCAGAGGTCCCCAACCTTTTTGGCACCAGGCACTGGTTTTGTGGAAGACAACTTTTCCACCAGGGAAATGATTTCAGGATGAAACTGTTCCATCTCAGATCATCAGGCATTAGCTAGATTCTCATAAGGAGCGTTCAACTTAGATCCCTTGCATGCACAGTTCACAGCAGGGTTCACGCTCCTATGAGAACCTAATACTGCCACTGATCTGACAGGAGGCAGAGCTCAGGCAGTAATGCTTGCTTGCCCACTGCTCATCTCCTGTTGTGCAGCCCAGTTCCTAACAGATACGGGCCCACGACCCAGGAATGGGGGACTCCTGTACTATCCCACTTCCCAAACAGGTCTTCAGGAGGTACTTAAATGTGCAACTATCTACATATAAACTTTTCTAGAGAGAAGAGACAAAGTAATAATCTTGCAAGAGGCTTTCTTACTCTCAAATTATTACAAACAATCAATATAAATGAATGGATTTATAACAGTCTATCATGTTTTAACTAAATCTAGCCATTAGGCTCTTAAGACATATTTCTCCTAACGTGTACCAAGCAAGTTAGGACAAATATGTCTTTCACACATCCAAAATGCACTTGTTTCTATAAATACAGTATAAAATTATATGAGTATCAAAAGCTGTTCTCTGCTAATTTAATAATAAAACTCCTAAAATAGAAACCTTGGGAAACCACTAAAATGGGAAGAAATTCCGTAGGCATAAGTGTGATCTCCAAAAAAGAGAAGCATGTTTTCAAAAATGTAGCAAGTATGAAGGCTTTCCCAAGGTTTTTGTTGTTGTTTTTATTGATTTTTTAAAATAAAGAAATGAAATTAAATCAAGGAACACATTAACATATGGACTAACAGGCTTATGAATACAAACAAGGAAAATACATCCATGTTTATTAACTATAAAACTCATGTGTCAGTCAAATTAAATTACATTTTCAACTAAGCAGCAGCTGGTATTTTTAAGAACACATGAGGCAGAAATAAATTTTAAATCATTTAGTAAGCATTTGCAAAGTTTCCCATTCATAAAATGCAACCTCAAACACATAGTGTCAGATGGAAGCAAAGAACTTAAAGATTCATGAAACAAAGCATGCACAGGGAACAAATCTAAATCCCAAACAACCATCAAAACTGAAAACTACATTATAAAGCCTTCTAAATTGTACTGGCAATCTGCCTTTTTAAGGACACTGATCAGAGCGGTTAGCTCAAATTGTGGTAAATACATTGAGTATTTTACATCCAAGAAACAGATTAGATGCAACTAAATTATATAAACCAGGCGGTACCTAACCAAGAGGTTTAAAGAAATATGGAACTGCTCGCTTGTTGTAATAAATAGCAAGTCTGTCAGAAGACAGCAGATTGCTAATGAAAGAGTCTTCAGTAAGATAGGTTCTAAAAGGAACCCTGGGAACAACACAATGATTCATCTTATTTCTAAACTGAACAAATTCATAATACTGACACTAATAAAACATGCCTCATAAGAAAATAGAAACGATTATGCTGTTGAGATGATCATGAATAGAGGAGATCTTTTTAAAAGAAACCTCTGTGTGCTAGTGCCTTATGCATATTATCCCTAATATTCAAGACAACTCTACAAAGCAGGTATTCTTTTCTATCATTTAGAAATGAGGGAAGATAGGTAAGTGTAACTACCGTAAGCTCACACGTAGGCAGGGCTGAGATTTAAACACTGCTTTGTCCGGTTAGATAGAGAAGCATGGGGTTGCTCAACGGATCACGATGAGGCCCAGGATCATTAACCTTATGTAACATTTTACAAATGTTCAGAAAGAGGAATTGAACTGAGAAAGCATCAAGATGCTAACAACATTAATCTTAAAATCCTGTAGGCAAAATAAAATCTATAAACAAAACAACACAAGCCAAGAAAAAGTATGTTAAAATATTGTGGGAGAGTTGATGGAAACTTAGAGGAAAAAAGGCTGTGGGATGAATTACCTATGGCAGATTTTATGAGACTTAAATTACACCTCAACAAAAAGAAAAAATTCTGGTTAACAGTGGGAAAAGCTGGGGAAAGTTTTTCATATGGGAAGAGAGCTACAACAGGGCAAATGGCATGTTCACATTCAAAACAAAACAAAAAACACAGTGACCTGACTTAAAGAAGAGTGTTACTGAAAGGCAGAACAGCAGATTAGTAAA